AAACTTTCGATGCTCGATGAAGGAGTTTAAGTCTCTGAGATCGAGGATGGGGCGAAGGGAGCCGTCCGGCTTTGGGACAGTGAAATATCTGGAGAAGAAGGCTCGGTGGTTTTGGGAGTCCGGTAGAGGGGAAATCGCCCCCTTCAGCAGCAAAGTGTTGACCTCCGCCAGGATCGCCGAGGATGGCTCGGTCTCGACAATCTGCCCCGTTGGAGGGAGCTCTTCGAACTCCAATGCATAGCCTTCGTCGACAATCTTTAAAACCCATGCATCTGAGGTGATATTTTCCCATGCAGGGAGAAAGTCTGTCAGACGATCCCCGAAAGGTGTCAAGCCGGATGGAAGGATGAGGGCGGGTTCCATTGGGAGGGACATGGGAACAGCATCTGTAACGGAAAAATAAACGGTACCGTCCGCCAGCCCGTCAAATTCGACGTCTGGCCTGGTTGCCTCCTGAGGTCTGCCTGGAGCGTGAGCGCTGCTGTTGCTGCTGACGCCTCTGTTGCTGCGGCTGCTGTGGCTGGGTCTGCAGAGGAGACTGTGCGGGACGGGTTGGGTGCCGGTACTGGATGGTGCGGTACGGCACCGTGTGTCTGCGCTTGTGTTGGTACCACCTGGTACGTTGCGCCTGACCCTGGTTTTCGAAGCCACACTTTGAGGCAAGGGTTTTAAATTCATGGTTGGACTTCAATTTATCGTCCGTGCCCGCATTAAAGAGTCCTAGGGCATCGAACGGCAGATCTTCAATCACTTGTCTTGACGAAGTGGAGAGGCCTGAAGATCGTAGCCAGGCATGTCGTCTGATTGCCACGGCATGGGCAATCATCTTTCCGGCGGTGTCCCCAGTATGCTTGGCCATCTGCATCTGGTGATGCGCCAGCGAGTGGGCCTCCTGAGCGAGAGTTGACATGGCGGCACGATCCTCTGCCGGCATTCTCTGGAAGAGCGGCTCGGCCTTTTCCCATAGAATCTGTTGGTAGGCCCCCATGCACGCTCCGTAGTTGGCCATACGGGCCAGCAGCAAGGCACCCGAGTAGAGCTTCCTGCCCACGGCATCGAACCTCTTCCCCTCGCGGTCGGAGGGCGTAGAGGATTGGCGGCCGAAACCCTGAGCAGCCTTCACGACCACCGAATTCGGGTCGGGATGATGCTTCAGCCACTCCAGCCCCTCATCATCGGTCCTGTACCAGGCCTCAATCTTCCTCGACGTCGGTGGGATGGACGACGGGGTCTTCCAGGAGCCCTGGATCACCTCCAGCAGGTAGGGGAGGAAGGGTAATAGAGTGGCTGGCGGAGCTTCCCTCTGCACCCTCTTGAAGACCGGGTCGGTCACTGCCTTGGAGGACTGCTTGACCTCCAGGCCCAGAGTCTCGGCCATACGAGCCATTTGGTCGGCGAAGGCTCGGACATTGTCGGTCGGGGAAGGCGGATCCACCTCATAGGCATCATGGGTGGGAGACTTTTCGATTCCAAGGGACAGCACCGACCCCGAACGCACCGATCCCGGCAGTTCGCCCTCTTCCTCCTCGTCATCAGGAGGCAGGGAACGTGGGGGTGGAGATGAAGAGGCATCCCGGCTCTGCAACTGAAGAGGCGGCGGTGGAGGGGCCTTCGAAGTTGAAGCCCGAATTGCGCTGGCTAGCCTCATGGTCTGCCTACCCCTTTCCGGGGTCTGAAGTACCGACTGGGTCTCCTGTATGGATGTCACAGTTGTCAAAGAGGCCACCGTCGGGAAAAGTTCCTGTCTCGCCGTCAGAAGCCGAGAAGAAGCTTCGATGACCGTGTCTACCGAAATCTCAGGGGACACGGGCTGCTCAGCAGGCAAAGGAGGAGGAGAGACAGGCTGCGGCTCTTGAGCAGGCTGTGGAGCCGGTTGCGATACGGTAGGCCGTACCGGTGACGATCTCGCCGAGGAGGAGACCGAGGAGGCAGTGCGCCGGTGAGAAGATGAAGAAGGTGATGGTGGAGGAGGCATCGTCCTCTTCCGCTTGGCGGGAGGCTGTGCTGTTTTAGCAAGAGACTTGCCCGGGGTGGGCGGTACGGGAGATGGGGAGGATGCACGTCGCGCCTCTTCCTGAGACCGACGGAAGGCGATTCGCACCGCCGTAGAAGATGGCGGCGTCGATGTCGACCTCGTGGAGACAGCCGACCTCACAGATGCCACAGAGCTTGTGGAAGAGTGTCGTATGCGCACGGTCTCGGTAGTGACCGATCGCGGAGGTGGCTGCTTCGCGGGCTTCGCAGGCCGAGGCGCCTTAGAAGCCATCGACGTCGAGGTCTTTGAGGCCGTCGACATTACAGCTCTTGGCCTCTTTTGGGCCACCTTCTTCCGACGGGTCGCGGCCGGTGCCGAGGAATCAACAGCAGCCGCTGTCGAGGTCGAGGGCCGGGACACCGTGGCCGATGTCGATGTCGACGCTGATGTCGAAGGTGCCGGAGCCAAAGCCTGTTGATACAAGAGGTACCGAAGACGATGCTCCCGGTTCTTTCTGGACTGTGCCGTCAAGGCCTGGCAATGACGACACGTCGATGTGATGTGCGCCTCGCCGAGGCACAGAAGGCAGAGTGAATGACTGTCCGAGTCAGGGATCTTCTTCGGACATCTCGAACACTTTTTGAAGCGAGTTGTTGACATAATCCGGTCAACAACTCGATATCGAAGAGAAGAAACGCTATCCAACACTATCCAACAATATCACTAACTATCCAAACCAACACAAGAAGCACCGAAGTGAGCCGTGCGGCGGAAAGAAAGGAATTGGAGCGGCGCCGCGGGGCGCC